CCCCCCCCCCCCCCCCCCCCCCCTCCCTCACTTACCGATGGGATATCTGTTTGAGCAGGCAGACCTCCACGAGGTCGAGGAAGTGCGCCAGGCGCTCCGGCTGCTCCGCCCCCGCCGCCATCACCGCCGACTCGAACACCGCGGGGTCCTGCTCTCTCGTTCCCCCGGCGAACCGAACGAACGGACGGAAGTATGGCGGGCGGGGGGGTTCATGAGGGACAGGCAGCAGTAGCAGCACCGTGGGAGGCAAGAATAACAAAACAAAAAAAACACTACCAGGTAGTAGTTTACTACGAAGGCAATCGCGGAGGGTACGACAGGGGCGTGAGAAAGGATAACGACAGGGGAGCAGACAGACAGAGAGACAGACAGACCGAGACACCCACACAGAGACACAGAGACACACAGAGAAAGACAGACACGAGAGAGAGAGAGATAGAGACAGACAGACAGACAGACAGATACAGCGAGAGCGGTTGAACCTACTTCGACAGAGATGGTCACGCCATGCCACTATTGGCATCAAGGGGGACTGCGAGGTGCATTCAACAAGCTTCCAACCTTTTCGTCCTCCGATCGTTGACCACACAAGTTCCAGCTCAGTTCGCTCAACCACGACCAAAAAATGTGCCTGTCATTTACGCGAATACCTCCCTCTCTCCGTACAGCGACACACCTGCAAGGTGAACTCCTTGTCGAAAAACATGCTCGGAACTTGCTCGAAGCACTGGCTGACGCTCCCCCTCCCGCCGAGATCGCGCTCGCTCCCCGCCTTGCCGCCATTAGCACCGCCGCCGTTGGCAGCCGAAGCGGCCGCCGCTGCCGCCGCCGCGGTAGCCGCTTCCTTACCTCCGTCCGCGTTACCCGTGCTACCCCCGTTCCGAAATCGACGAAGTCCGAGCCCGTACCTTGATCGCCATCGGCAATTCCGTGGGGTGGGGGGGGTGCCACAGGAATAAATTCAACATGATGCGAGCACACAAACGGTCACGGATAACAGAAGCCAAGAAGAAGGGGACGGGGGTGAGCGTCGAGGTAGCCAGAGGGAGAGGGAACATACGCGCTTGCCGTATGAGTGCGGGCTCCTCCCTCTCGCCACACGGCTTCCCACTCGTTCTTAATGCGGAGGGTTCAGGGCTCAAAAATTCCAGGCGTGCGTGAGCCCCGCCGCCGCCGCTTACTACTATACGCCAAAAACTCCGCCAGCCGCGTCCCTCAATGTCCGCAAAAATGGCGCCTCTTGCTGGACGACCTGAACCTTCTCCCGAAGGGCATCACGCAACTGCTGCGGCATGCACGCAGACAGCAATCCCCCATTTCTCCGCAGACAAATTATACGTCGACAGCGTTGAAGTGACGGGAGCATGCACCCTTTTTTCCGCAGACAGATTGTACCACAGCATCGAAGCACACCGCCGCCTCAACAACCCGTTTTTTTCCGCCGACATTTTGTACAACATCGTCGAAGTGACGGGAGGAGGAGGAGGAGGAGGAGGAGGAGGAGGAGGAGGAGGAGGAGGAGGAGGAGGAGTAGGACCCGCGGGTATTTGCTTACCTCGGCGCTTCCTCCACCCCGGGAACGACCACGTCGCTCGCGCTGGCCCTTCGCGCGGACGGACCGTTTGCACCCCCGCCGCCCCTTGCTCCAGGAGGAGCGTCCTGCTGCCCGAGAGCCACAAGGTGGTTCCGCTCGTACGCTTTGGTCAGGGCTGCCGTTTTCCGAAGGTAAGGCTCCACGTCCTGTTGCACGCACACACGGAGTACGGGGGGATGCAATACCCATCGAGGGTTGGGGGGGGGGGGGTTACCGTATTTGGTACCAGCAACCATTGGGGATACTGCACCCCCTATAACATGTAGACTATGTAGGCGTATCACGGTTTCGGTTCGTCCTGTAGTATAGGAGTTCCAGCGACCGGACAGACGTTGACTGACTGCACCAAGCGCATGGTGGGTGATGCTCCTACTACTTTAGCACTCCTGGTACAGTTACACCGGCGTGGTCACTACGTGGCCCGCCCCTACATGCGCATGTGCACGCCTTACTGCAGGCCTCCTCGAATGTATCAACAAATACTTGCTACTATGAACTCCGGTAGATGACCAATTTTCTGACTCTTCCCCCCGGTTGGCAGAAGCCACCCGGAAAACCTACACAAGGCTGGCACTGACTGACCGCACGGAGCGCCCGGATAACGCAGCACGCCAATCGTTCGTGCCGTGGGTTCCTACATCACGGCTGCTGCTGAGCTCTCTGAAGAGAGCGTTGTACAATCATTTGCCACACAACGGGCGCTGCATCGCGCAATAGTGCATGCTTTCTTGCACAAGAGGATGTGCTGTGTGATCAGCTCATCTGCATCACGCAATAGTGCGTGTTATCTTGCAGAAAACGATATGCATACTGCTGCGTGGTCGGCTCGTCTGATGCCGGTATGTCTCTTAAGGCCGATCCCGTGACCTTCTCTCCTCGTAGGTCATTTCCTGAGTTTCATCATCGCACGTTCGCGCCTCTGGCATGCCAGTCAGGTATATGCACACCTGCCCGCGGCCTCGACATTGTGGTGGTCGGACGCCGCCGCGATACGCGGCATGCTACCGGGTGGGGGTATAGCTAGCCTCCACTTACAGCAGCGGCACAACGGGTCTGCTGCGCACTAACATTCCAAGCGTTCTAACGTACCCCGCTAAAAAGACTAACACCTTCTTATGTTCAGCAGCCGGTTTTGCGAGATAGATTTCAAATGCAAGATACATGTGGAATCACGTGCAAATTACGTACACGGGGCCTCTTCGTCGGGGGAGCCCGCGAAGTAGAAAAGCGTGTCGCGTGAGCATTTTATTATTGTCCCACGAGAACAGTGTAATTTGATTGGTCAGCCGGGTAGCGCGGTCGATGCTCGCTAAGCAAAAACACACACGCAAGAGTACATATAGGACATATAGGACGTGTTGTACACGAGAGAGAGGGCTTCCTCGACCACAACTCAGATGTTGTTGCCATGGGTATGTCGGCAGCGACAAAGTGTAGGGTTAGGACAGCGACGGTAGCGGAGACGAGTCCAGAAAGATGAACATGCTGAAGCTAGTTGAAAGCCCAACGGCGCAAACAGAAGACGGATAGAGAGCAACCCACGAAAGGCACTGATGCCTCCTTTAATTCCCTGGAAGACACATGTATCGAGCCTTCGGGTTGCGGAAGACCCCACACCCCCTTGAACCGATTTTCAAAAGTCCAGGATTATAGCACACCATCTGCAGAACAACACACAAACGGCGACCGCCTGTCTCATCGAGAGCTTCAATCCGACGCATCATTTGGTATTGTCATGCTCTTTCGTCGCGGAGCAATCGAACTGCTGTAGAAAATCGGTTCGCAAACTGCTGTGTGGTATCTATTGTGCAACCTACTGCTGCGTGCATACGAGTATGCGAACGGTGTTTCCGCGTTGCCCTCTTGGTTTCGTTAATAAACTTGAAACCAGAACGAACCACAGGACAACAACCCATGACGCAAAAACACCAAGGCAATCTTGGGAGCGTACCAGCACCCGTAAAACAAGTTTGGTGCATGAGAGGTCCGCGCACTTCGCAGTGGCTGGACAGTACAAACGCTCTCGGTACGTGGTATGTCAGTGCTGCTGTTCTACTGGTACAGCAGCAGTAAACGGGTGTGCTAGAGTCTATGCACAACGATGCGGCTGAAAACAGCCAGAGGAAGAGCAGGAAAGAACAACAACGCCACTTTCTTCTTTCCGGTGCGTTTCCGCTAGGCAACAGCAAGGCAACCAACAATGCGCGCGCACACCGCGAAGCACGGCGTGCCACGCGGAGACGTGCTCACACCATGCCTACTCGTGGTGCAGGTACGCCCACCCTTGTCGCCAATGGCGGGGTTGCCACAGCAGCAGCAGGTCAGTCAAAAGCATCGTGTGCATACATACCTGCGGCGTGATCTCCCTTATCCCGTGCGGCACGTTAGCCCGCACAACCTCTAGGTCCGGCAGCGGCGGCTCCGCCTCGAACGCGGCCTCGTACAGCGAGTCCATGAACGTCTCCCGAGGGTTGTTCAGCACGGACGTCAGGTTGTGCCCGCTCAGCTCCAGCTCCTCCCGAACGTCCTGGAAGTGGAGCATCGCAAGCTCCCCCTCGTCTCCGCTGCCCTCAGCACTGATATTGGCACTGCCTAATCCTCCTGCAGCAGCACCTCTCAAGCCCTTCCTTCGACGGAGTTCCCTGTCGTCCCCCGCCGAACCCGTTCGCTGGCGAGGGTCGGCACTCCTGCCGGTGGCAACGCCCCCCGCCAACGTCGGCGAGCCGCGTCTCTCTCTCCATCTGCCTGGCATGGTCCGTCGTGTTGCCGATGATGATGATGAGGACTGCCGCTGTTGTTCTTGTCGGTCTCTCGCCGCCGTCGCTGTCGAGCGCCGCGCCGCTGGGGCGATGCCAGGCCCAGCAGGCGCTGCCGGACCCGCATCTGCGCCAGCAGGCGGCAAGGTTTTTCGCTCCATGCGTCGTGCCCTCTCTCCTATCTAAATTCGGTCTCCTGGCAGTAGAGAAGGTCCCGAGGGATGGCAAGTGACGGCCAGGACATCCGCGATGATGTCACCGGGACGGGGGACCGCGCAGACCGGGAACGGAACGCGAAGGATGGTAGCGAAAAGACCCAAGATAGATGGGATGTAGGGGGTTCCGTACCTACAGTACATGTCCCCGTCCGTCCCGCGCCGTTACTCCGCGCACGTGATCTGTGATGAAAGTGGTGTGGTGTGATTGTCCCCCTTCCGCATGTTCTCCATGAATGAGATGCATAGTATCGTGCTGCGACGAGTCATAAAAAAACTGTGCCGTTTCGGCCACACGATGGGTCCAATGCATGGGGTGTGTTCATTTCTTTAATTGATTTTAGGTTTTGGGAGTATACATTAGAAGAGAAGACGAAAAAATCGTAAAACATGCACACAAAAATGTACGCGCATCGATGCATGTGCGCATACATGTACCATTGCTTCTATTACGCGAGATCTCTTGACATGATGTCAAGTCGAGCACTCCATTGCCGTGTGAAGTCTGTCCGTATTCGCCACCAATCGCTAGGTTACTGGAAGTGTGTACCGAGAGCCACGCTACCTATGTATTCGTCTCTTGTAAAGCAGCTACTACGTGAGGTCGCGGGTCTTAGTTGAAAGGTGATCTTGGTGTTGTTGGTGTCACGGGCAGCGCTAAGACAGACGCACGCCTTTGAGAAGCTGCTCGTCATTTTTGCAGCAACGACGCTGGCTACGACTATGCTCCGTACTCCGTACAGACAGGCCATCGCGCGCGGCGACTCCCTCCCAAAGCGTAAGAATATTCCCGTTGTATTGATTTGCGGAACAGCCGGACAACATCCATCCCCGATTGGTCACGACCCCCGCCGTCCCCACCCCCCACCCCGCCGTCCCCGCCCCCCAAGTGGAAAGACATCTAGCTTACAGGGTACGATGACTACAGCTCGCGGCGATCTCTGCAACGAATGGTACAATTCCACGTTCCACGCCTATGCATCCTCGTCAAGGACTCTTCCACGGCAGACGTGCAAAAGCGGTATTGAAGGAGAACAAAACACTGCACGGAGGGAATACCCCCTCTTCTCCTCTTGCGAAACTGTCTCGGCAGTAATGTAGCGCCTTCAACTTCAACAATGGCTTGCCACATTTATAGGAGATCAAGATCGAGCTTCCCTAGTTAGTATAGTCTACACCAAACTGCGCTTGTCTCATTCGTACGTCGATTAAGGTCCATCGAGACAATCAGCAAACACTGCCATGACGCACATTGCCAACCGCGGAAGAGCTGCAGTAACAACGCTTACCAGGCTACCAATCACCATCTCATATCGTTCAGCGGAATGGCCCTTGTTGCAACGGGAAATATATAGCAATCTGATCGTTTCCCTGCCTACCAACACGCTTTACTTTGTACCGCACACTGCCATATTCCAACAACACGCAAAAGCGGCATTGTCAAGCCAAAGCGGCATTCATTGTTAAAGCCCGCGTGCGCTTAAAATCTAAACCATCGGTGGCTAAACCTACCCGGCTAGAGCGGTGAGTACTTTTCACAAAAAAATCTCTAATACGACTGGAACCTATGAAGGGCACACGCACGCTATCCTGCGAGCATATCCCCGCCCCCTGCCCCCCAAACTGAAAAAAAAAATCGCTTTTTTACAGTTCTTTGAAAACATCTATCTCCCTGCAACCAATGTCGACGCGGTCTACTCTAGGGTGACCAAGCAGTGCAACTCTAAAAGCTGCTCAATGTCACGCACCGCGTTCGACGGACTTCATTGCCATAAAACTTGAAAAAAAAATCCCACAAAAGTACAAAAAATGATCCGCCCGCGCCGGGCCGGGCCGGGCCGGGCCAGGCCGGGCCGCTCTCGATACCGGGGCGGAGCGGTCCCAATCCTATCCAAGTAATGCCGCCGACAAGCGCGACGTCTATCATCTCGACGCCCGCCCTACTACGGCTCGCTGCCGCCTTGCTCCCCATCCAGAGGGTCAACGCACATGCCGTCCGCCGCCGCCGCCTCGTCGCCGTTACAGATCGCTGCGCCCGATACCAGCGTTAACCCCGAGGAGGGGGGTGAAGAGTAGGGGCAGGAGCGGGGGGACCCTACCCTGCTACCGCCGCTACCGCTGGCCCCGCAGCTGGGGATCCGACTTGCGGCGGCGGTGCCGCCGTCGTCGCCCCGGTAGCTGACACCGCCGTCCTTGTGCTCGTTGCCGGCGGCTCGGCGGTCCGCTCTTTCCTCTCCTGCCCGTTGCGGGGAATCGGCGTTGGAGGCAGAGGAGGCGGAGAGGCGCTGCTGCTCCAGGCGCAGCCATTCCTGGTGGTAGTAGTCGCAGTTGTTGTTCAGGTTCTCCAACAACGGTGCGAGCTTGGGAAACAGCACAGCAAACGGTTGCCACAGCGGCTTGACGATCTGGGAGAATACAACGGTGGGGGGGGGGGGGGGGGGGG